TACATAAGGTTGAGAAATAATTTTAAAAGATTTGGGAAAATTAAAACCCATTTTGTCCCTATTATCAAGAATCACATTCATAACATTTCACTTTCTGCTGAGTAATTCACGTGGTTTACCACAGATGTATGTCTTTCCATCCAGACTGGACATTTCCAGTTTTTATTTTGTTATAATTCCAGCATGAATGACACTTTCAGAACAACACATGAGATGGAAGAGTGGGTCAGAACATCTGAGCTCTGTGTACCTGAGAAAACTCGCTTTGTTTACAAATGTCTTACAATTGTAAGAGTATGTTGCCCATAAGTGATCATGTCCTGTCACTGATTTCATACATTTTAAATGGCAATTGAGTTGGGCCATTATTTTAGGAAGGGAACGATTTTTGCTTCAGTGTCATGAAAATGTTCTTTACGATCTAGTTAGATTTGTAGAATGCAGATTTGTCCTCCCGACCACTTGGTGGCAACGATGCTCCAAGAAACCAGCAGCAATGAAACAAAGCAGAGGAAGAGCAGCGGTTTGTTTGTTTACATCTAAGCTAATGCTAATGACGCAGCTGTAGTTCCAGCTGCAGCGGCTGTATCTCTCTACCTGTCGCCTGGAAGCTGGAGACTGGCGGTCTGTGTCTCCTCTTCCAGTTTGTCCTGCGATTGTGAATAAAGGCGTAGTTCCGGAGGATTACAGCAGCCATGGCTCAGCAGAGAGGAGTCAACAGCCTCCAGTTCAACCAGGACCAAAGTAAGCTTCACCCTGGTCCCACTTACTTTAGAAAAAAAGCTTCGTCAGCAAGGCGAAGTTTTACAGTCACACAAAATGTCCCAACTGCCGCAACTTCTGGATGTGTTCCAGTTGGAGAGCAGAACAAAAGAAACCACCGCAGACGTCTACAGGCCTGGGGGAGGCTGTTGTTGTTTTGCTCTCTCTACTTTAGCAGTTTTGGTTACATTAGAGCTGTAGGTGTTTGGAAAGTTGTTCATCTAATTGACACATTTTTGTTTTATGGGACTGATTCTGAAAATGAAAATATGCAATGTCGTTACTAATTTTGTTGGTCCAGCAAGCAATAACAAACACTAATGCAAACCTTCTATATTCATTTTGATATTTGTTCTCCCATGATAGATCGTAAGGTAGTATTCCTTTCAGTTCATTTTTATTTATATAGCACCAACTTATAAATGTCTCAGGCGCTGTATAAGACAGACGGGTCTGATATAAATGACATACTTGACACTTTGAGCCATGAGAACTTTCTGTGGAAAAGGAAAAAGTTGACAAAACTAAAGAGAGCAATAACTAAGAAGCTTCTATGAGAGGAAATGCATTTACACATCAAAGCTCTGAGCCAGTGGTATATCTGGAAATCAGACTTTATTAACTTGTCATGACAATTGATCTTTTTTCCTAAAAGACACTGATGAATAAAGAATCACTGAGTCAAGTGTGTTCTCTATTGAGAGGAAAATAAATATTTAAACTGTAATCCATAACGGTAGAAAATGTCCAGTCAAGTTGTTATAATTAAACTTTATTTAAATATGTTTGTATTTTATGGACTGTGATACTAAAATCTGTCTTACTAGGGCTTATTGAGATTTATGTGAAAATATTAAAAACCACATTATTTTTACTTAATCTACCCAGCTTACTATAGTTTTCCTTTTTAATCACAAAGATGAAGTCTTTGCAATAATAACAGCCAAATCTTTGGGTAGTGCCCTCAGGTAAGTAAAATGTTTTGCTGAACAAAACAAAATATCTTCCTAAACATAATTTATCGTCCAGCAAACTTTCTTACTGCTACAGATCTACTAAATCATGTACCTAAACATTGAATTTCTGTTTTTATGTTAAGTTTTTTTAATGTATTGTGGATAGAATCACAAATATTCTCAAACCTAAGGTGTACTTTAACTTAACCGTATATATGTATATATTTTTTGAAGATTATATGTTACATTCTTCTGATCTCAGTTTGGGTCAGGTAACTAACAAAATATTACATCCCCCCGTCAGTCTAAGTTAAAACTGTTATATGCAACATTAATTGACAATTCACACAAATGACCACATGTAAGGCTTACGTCAAACAACTTCATCACATCAGGTCAGTGCCAATGTTATGTGAAAAGTTGCCTATTTTTGATCCTCTTTACCTTCCGTAGAAGTCAACTCAGTTTGCTTTTGAATGTTGAGTGTTTAGAAACAGAATCAACTTCGTTTAATGGCTCCATTGTGTAAGCAGCAGAAGGTGCTCCTGACAGAAAACATGCAGAACTAACAAACAGATGAAGTTTGAAGTGTTTGTCATCTACAGGCTGTTTCTGCTGTGCGATGGAGACGGGGGTGAAAATCTACAACGTGGAGCCGCTGATGGAGAAGGGCCACCTGGGTGAGTCCTGGTGGAGGTACTGATAGCTGCCTGCCGTCACTCCACTGCTTTAATGAGTTTTTATCAGCAAATCAACAAACCTCTGGCCTGTTTGTGACTGGACATAAATGCTTTGCAGTAGAGGTGGGCAATATGGCCTGGTCTGGTATCGCTGATGCTGATACCAATACCGATACCAATATTTTTTATTACTTAAGTTCGATATATCAGAGTTCTGACATTTAGCCATTTTTATGGTTTATCAGTTTATTTTTCAGCAAAATTTATGACAGGCCTACATATTAACATAAACAAAAACAATAGACAAACAAAACAAATTTGTGTACATCGTTTCCTAAATAAAGTATCATTTGAGAAACAAACACTTATTTTCTGTGTTAGAGTTGAGGAACTGCAACATAGAAATATGAAAGTTTGTAAGTGAATTTTTTCCACAACACACTATCAATATTATCGATGTTTTGGATGGCTCCGCCCACCTCTGCTTTCCAGCTCAGGCAAAGAGGCAGGGAGAAAATGTGATGCTGAACGTATGCCTGTGAGATGAAGACCTCTGTCGTCTTGACAACTGTCCCAAAACTGTTGCAAATCAGTGTATCTGTGCACATTGAGTGTTTGTGTTGTTTCAGACCATGAGCAGGTGGGCAGTGTGGCGCTGTGCTCCATGCTGCATCGCTCCAACCTGCTGGCCTTGGTCGGAGGAGGAGTCAATCCCAAATTCTCCGAAATCTCCGGTGCGTCAGCTTCTCCAGAATGTTCTTTTATTTTTTATAATCAGCCTGACCTGTCTTTATTTATACTGTACCTGCTGTAGATGTTTAAAATATTTATTTGCTTAGTAAAGGATCCCCACTAGTCCCTACTGTAGCAGAAATTACAAGCACAAACTATTTCAGCCGTCCACCCATCATCATACCCATCATGATCCTAGTGGGATCACCTGGTGCCTAATGGTCAGTGGATGACGTCATGTTTTTGGACTGAGAGAGTACCTAGAAAAACCCACATATGCACAGGGAGAACATGCAAACTCCATGCAGAAAGACCAGGGCTGGGAATCAAACCCAGAACCTTCTTGCTGCAAGGCAGCAGTGGTACCACTGTGCATTTTGATATGGATATTTTAGCCATATCAAAACTAAATTAAAAATAAAGATACAAATAAAACTATAACAGACTGAATACAAATTTAGACATTCCATCAATTTCATGTTAATTCATTCTCTATTAAAATTTACATATTTCAGAAGGCAACTTATTCCAAAAAGAAACAGCTGTTTCTTTCAGAGTGTTGGTTTGAGGCAGAGGCATTGTCAGAGTACTGACAGAGTTTTGTCTGGTATTAAAAGCATGTCTGTTGTAAGTGGGTGACACCTACAGTGAGAATAGAGCATGTGTTTCTCATTCATTGAATTATTGAGCATCACTTGGATCTGCTCTCCTCTGGTTGAAGTTCTGATCTGGGATGACGCTCGAGAGTCCCGAGACCCCAAGGATAAGCTGGTGCTGGAGTTCACCTTCACCAAACCGGTTCTGGCCGTTCGCATGAGGCACGACAAGTGAGTTTCCTCTGACCACTGTTACCCCTCCCTGTCCAGCCGCACGGATCCACTGATCATGAGATCGCCTGTTGTCGTAGGATCATAATCGTGTTGAAGAACAAGATCTTCGTTTACAGTTTCCCAGACAATCCCGTCAAGCTTTTTGAATTCGACACCAGAGACAACCCTAAAGGTGAAACTCTTTCTTCCTCTGTGATTTCTTTGTCTCTCCTCTTATTGTCTTACTTCTAGACAGAATTTCTCTCCATCCTGCAGGTATCTGTGACCTGTGTCCCAGTCTGGAGAAACAGCTGTTGGTATTCCCAGGTCACAAATGCGGCAGCTTGCAGCTGGTGGTAAGTTCCAGACTTGTGGGAGGACGAGTGCGTCCGACTCTGTTGTTTTGGCCAACAAGCTGGGACGTCTCGTCTCTTTCAGGACTTGTCCAACACCAAGCCCGGCACATCGTCGGCGCCGTTTACCATCAACGCCCACCAGAGCGAGATCGCCTGCGTGGCGCTGAACCAGGCAGGCAGCGTGGCGGCGTCAGCGTCCCGCAAAGGAACCCTGATCCGACTGTTCGACACCACAACCAGAGACAAGCTGGTGGAGCTGCGCAGAGGCACCGACCCAGCCACGCTCTACTGGTGCTTACTGCAGATCACAACAGATCACAACAGATCAGAGTGGAAGGTGGATGTAGTTTGGGTCTTTGGTCCAGGCCTTCATTTAGTATTTTTACAGTCAGTGTCCTTCTGGAAGGAAATCCAAAACTTGAGTCAAAACATTTGACCCAAGTTATACACTAAAGACATTTATCCCTCATACTGACCAAATGTATATAAAGAAAGGGGAAACAAATGTCTAAAAAATGTTCTGGCTAAGTTTTCTGGCATTTAGCAAATAGAAATAATTCTGGTAAAAGAAAGAAACAAGAAAAGTTTGGTCTGATTTATCTTCAGACAGTGAGATAAAAAAAATATGTGTGTTTTTATTGGGTGTATGTAAAATTTCAACTGTATCACTCATTTTGCTGTCCCTGTTGAAGAACAGTATCCCCACAGCATGATGCTTCCACCGTATTTCACAGGGTAGATGGTGTGTTCAGGGTCATTTCTGCCAGGACATTAAGAACACAAGAATCTAATTAGTTACAACGTTTATTCAGTTCAAAACTACTGGATTTGACCCAAAGGGAAGCAAAATATTATAACTCTTATCATTTAAATGCCTTAAGAGTTATTGTTAGGTTTGCAATGAATCAGAAGAGGTCTCTGATTGAGAGTTTGTCAACTCATATTAGGGCCATTGGAGACAGAAAAAAAGTAATTTTCTGCCAAAATATTCTGAAATTTTAAGAATTCCACACATTTTCTAGAAAAAAACATGGAAATTATTGAGTTTCAAAAGTTTTTTTCCTGGAAAAAGTCTGAGATTAATCTCAAAATTTCTAAGTTATTTCTAGCAATTTTTCCACTTTTCAAGCTCAGAAATGTCCTGGCTTTTTCTCCTCTAGAAAATTTCTAAGACAAAATTTAAGTTTTCTGGTGGAAATTTACTCCTTTTTTAGAGACGATTGTATTAGTCCCTAAAATGCACCATCGTGCAAAGTAGCATTTTTTTAGATTGTTAAGCCATTTTTGAAGAAGTAAACAACTCTGCGTTCAACAGACGTGTTAACCATGTGAAACACGAGACCGGTGCAGCACACAGACGCCGTCGGCTTTCATCCACTGAAGCGTTCCTCCTTTTCTCTCTTGCAGCATCAACTTCAGCCACGACTCGTCCTTCCTGTGTGCCTCCAGCGACAAAGGCACCGTCCACATCTTTGCTCTGAAGGACACCAAACTCAACCGACGCTCAGCGTAAGACCTCCACCTGCTCTCATCCTCTCACTGCTGCCGTGAGCTGAACCCATCTCTCTCTCTGCAGCCTGGCCCGTGTCGGGAAGGTGGGCCCTGTGATTGGTCAGTATGTGGACAGCCAGTGGTCGCTGGCCAGCTTCACCGTGCCTGCTGAGTGCGCCTGCATATGTGCTTTTGGAAAAAACACATCCAAAAACGTGAACTCGGTCATCGGTGAGGAAACCTGCTGTTGTGTTCTGGCTGCATATCATCACGTTCATAAATGTGGCGTTTCCTGCATGTCACATGATGCAGAGAAGCTAGAATGAAGCTCAGTAAATGTTATTGGTAAAAATGGAGCAGTATTGTTATGAGAAGATATAGAATAAAATCTTTGTCGGTAGGATTTAATTTATACCAATCAGGGCTGCAACTAATGATTGTTAGTAATGGAATTATTTTATTGATTATTCAGATGATTAATTTGTTAAAAAATTAGCCACATTCTGCAGATTTTTTTATTTGACCATTTCAGCCTTTTTTATACAATATTAGAAATGCGTTAAAATATGTAAATATAAAAATAATTACATTTTTAAGAAAATAAAACATTTTATTGTCTAAAGTGCAATAACATAGCATTCCCTTAGTGAAAACTTGATCACTTACAAAAATTGCAGATTAATTTTTGTATTAACAACCAATAATTGGATGGCAAGAGGTGGCTAATAGATTTTGTTTTACACAATTTGAATCAGCTGAAGCTAAAACTGTGACTTGAGGAGTTCTGGGTAGAACATATTTGCAGACAAAGGGATTTTTTTTTATCTTAAATGCAAATTTTACATATTTTTGTACAGTTTTGGCCTTACTGCTCTGAGTGTGTTGTTCTTTCAGCAAATATTCTTTTTTGAGTCTGTATAATCCAGTGACAGATCAATTACCAAATGAGTGGAAGATTATTTCAATAACCGATTAATCACGATTAACCATTTCAGCCCTAATACAAATACTCCTCTCCAGTAACCTGGAGCTTTTTACGCTTGGCATTAGTGAGACTGACAGGAGCTGTAACCTGATGCAGTCACCATCTTTAAACATTTCTAGCAAAAGCCAGTCATCTTAGCTTTAGCATCATCATCCTGTACTTTAGCCTCACTTCTACATCCTGACAGAAAAAACATGTATTACAAGTCCGTTTACTTCCTTCTCTAAGCTTATATTTCTAAATTAATTTTGAGTATCACTATAGTTTTCTATCCTTGCCTTCTCGTGCCTCTGTTCTGCAGCCATCTGTGTAGACGGGACCTTCCACAAGTACGTCTTCACACCGGATGGAAACTGCAATCGAGAAGCCTTCGACGTGTACCTGGACATCTGTGACGACGATGACTTCTGAGAGGAAGGCAAAGGGACGAGACTTACCTGAAGAGACCGCTGTGGTCTGGAGATGGAAAAGATGGAAAAGACCAACAAACTCAGCTGCAGCCTGTTTTATCAAGAGCCACGTTTTAATCAGTTGTATTTACAATGTGCAGCTCAGTCGGTCAAATGCAGCCCAACTTACCTGGATGATGAGTAACACATGACTAGTGTTCAGAATTTATGGAAGCTGACAATGAAGTCTGACTAAAATTAGAAATGTTTTATAAAAAACTGTTTCTTTTATTGTAAGTAATAAATAGACCTTTTATTTATATGTTGCTGTTTATCATTTCAGTGTATATTTTGCATCTTTAGTGCGTCACTTAGTTGCCGTGTATCACAGGAATAGTTTGGATTTGTCAACGTAAGGTTCTGTAGTATTTCCCATCTATTTCCACCAGGAAAGACAAAATAATATATACAGCATAATTATGAGAATGAAAGCCATAACTTAAACTTTCTGAGTCCTAGTTATGAGATAAGTGTGACCTTGAAAGTCTCAATTATAACCCTTATTGTTATAACTTGTAATTATGACTTCCTGTTGGGCTTTTATTTTTTTTGTTGTTGTTTCATGGCAGAAATGGGCTTCCATACAGTAGAGACCTTGTAGTAGCTAGCACGTTCCTGTGAAATGACTCTCCACAGTCGCAGTCTCACATGTAATTCAAGTTAAAGGGCATAAAATGACTTTTTGAGCTTTACCTTATGCACAATGTTATTCCCTCAGCAAAAACATACCTGAAGTTTTCCCTTGATTATTTCTTGCATGTTTGAGAAATCCTAAAATCTCCCATGGCAACCATTCGGGGTGCCTAAAGGCCAGGTCTCGCTGTGTGCTGCCTTTTCTACAAAGATCTTCCTCCAGCCGAGCTTTAGCGTCAGAGCAGCCCAGCCCCACTCAGCTCCTTCAGACTAGCCAGCAGCAATTAGCAAACACCTACATTTCAACAAACAGGTGTACAGCTCAAAACTTTGACATTAATAATGCAACAATCAGTAAAATATTAATGTAAGAATAACTACTGGTCAGAATCTATAGCTAGCAGTGCAGTAGGTTACTTAGTTATGGCTTGTTCAGTTGTATTCATTAATCTGTTATATTTTACAAGAGTTAACGAACCAAATGGTTTGGTGCCCCAAAGAACTGGAAAGCAATATAAAGTCTTCAGATAATAAAACATCTTTAAGGGGGCAGTGTTATGTTTTTTCAGGTATATAGTGCCATTTTATAGCTCATTGAAGTAACAATGTTAACTTCAGTTGGTATAAAAATGCCACATATATATCAAACATGAGAAAATACAAGCTGCCTTCGCAATCTGACACCTTGAAATCTCCTCTTTAAATCAAGATTAAATAAATATGTACGAAGTAATAGCAAAACACAAAACAAAGAGGACTTTTACTACGATGTTTTATTAGAAAGAATGAAGCAGATTAAGGTGACTCTTTGTGTGGCAGAAAACGTGACAAACACTATGCAAGTCCATGTAAATATATTAAACCTAGAAAGATTTCAAACAGATCACCTGGCTTAAGTCTTATTATACATACAACTCACATTGTTTTGATTACCTGAATTAAGTGCTGCAGGGACAAGGATACAACGTAAAATCGACTTACAGTCTGATTACTGCAATTGATAAATGTGGTGTTTTAGATATAAATAACCATCAACTCAAAAAAAATATAATTGACCCAACCAAATTCATTCAAACTTACTTTCTTTACTGTGTAACTTTCTGTGGAATTTCACAAAAATATGCTGTACACAATCGGTTCAGAAAAGCACTACAATGAGCAAGAAATATCCAGAATATAGCGATTAATGTACAGGCATCTGAATATGAAAAGATCCTAAAGTGGTTTCTTAACTGCAGTCTGCTGAAGCTGTTGTAAAGAACTGAAAGGCACGTCACATTTATCGAAGCTGACATTTAAACCAGATGTCCTTAAAACGAACAGAGTGTTTGACATGGTACAGCGCAGCACTGTGTGAGCTTCAGAACCCTTCATGTCTTCATGCGTTGGAAACGCAGTCAGCTTAAGGCCTCCCTGTTCCAAGATGTCAGCTCAGTGACTGACATGGCAACTCTAGTCAGCTACAGACGTTCTCACTGGCGCAATGCCAGCAAAAGCAAAACTGCAATAATCCTGCACTTTTACACATTTACATACATTACAAAAGATATCGATGTTATTTTGGTTACTAAAATGTTTTTTTTTTTTCTGCTTTCCTGGTCATCATCATTTTGGCTTCATGGAAGTTTTTTTTTTTCTTTTTTGAAAGAGGCGCCGATCCATTTTTAGCACAAAAGTAACCAATTCAGTTCAGTTCTTAGCTGACCTTCGGCTCCATTAGTTTATGTTTGTGTGTAAAGTTCTAGAGGAGGACTTGAATGATGAGGAAGAAACGGGTGAAGACAACATGCTTTGGTCCGTAAATGATCTTTCTTGGCAGTTATATATTTTAGAGAACGTTGTGGTAGTTCACAGGCCAAACGTCCACAGTGTGACCTCTCCGTTTTGCTAACCGTTCTCCTTCCATAGAACTAAGTGAATGCTATGGTCGGGCATGCTGGTGGCAAATACCAGTCCAGAGTCATTGCCCCCATCCAGGCCGTTCAGCCAGGAGGTGACGCCTGCCAGGAAGCTGGATCCTCGTTTGGATTTCCTGTAGGCTGGAAGAGGCCAGCGGCCTGAGACGGACTCTGTTCTCAGGTCCATGACATACAGGAAGTGGTTATCAAAAAGGAGAGCAAACACCTCACCGAAGCTTAGCAGGGACAGGTTGGCTGGGTCCTCCATCTTTATTACTCTGAGAAAAGGAGAACAGAGTTGTAAGGGTTAGAGCGACATCGGCTGAGTGTTTGTTAACCACAGAACTGCACAAGTTGAAAATAAATTTGCTTATCAGAAACGCATCAATTTTGAAAAAACTCAGTTTTTAATTAAGTTTTTGCACTAGATTGAGGTGGATTTTCAGCCGCATCGAAACAGAAATATTCAGCAAAACTGTGATGAAAACATTTTTTCCATGTCACATCATCAACAGCTGGATGTTACTACCAGCAAAAACGAAGAAGAAGACAGGAAGTAGATGGAGGATGACGGTTTGGTTTGGCTTTTTCAGACAATGTGCGGTTGGCTCCACCAGAGCTCTCACAGCATCACAGTTCATAAAAAGTTGTGTGTCATTCCAACGTCTTGAGTCCAAAACGTTTCTGGAAAATCGCAATTCACAATTTCCCCAAAACACCTCATACATAGCTGCTCCCAAGTCAGTGGGGCTCATCACTCCAACACCAAAGATTGGAACAACTTGCAAAAAACCCCACCACTGACTTCAATATCAACCATTATCAACTTAGTAAAACCCATAGTACATGACTGATGTACCTGCTTTTAAAAACTACTGACTAACCATGAGTATTACAGTACATTTAGTCAGTATGATTACTATTACACATATTTTTCTGTTTAATAATATTCTTCTGTTTTCTGCTGTATGATATTCTGCTGTAAAATGTTTTAATCTTTTCTAAACAGGTCTCTGCTGAAAATGAGAATTTGTTCTCAATCAATGTAGCTGGATGAATAAAAGGTAATCTTGAACTAATGTGACGTTCTGAAGATTTTACCTCAGAATTTCAAAACTGGCAAAATCCCACTGATAGACCCCAAGGTCAGAGCTGCAGACGATGTAACGTCCATCAAACTGCAGGCGAGGCTGAAGGCTGATGCTGCGGTCCTCCGACACCGACAGCGTCTTCAAACACTTGCAGTTGATTTCTCTTCCTAAAGGCCAAACCTGCAGAGCGTGAAAAGCATTCAGTTTCATCGTGTGGAGCGCTTACGATAAGAAAACCTCCAATGAAAATATGAATTCTAGTAGGGTGAGAACGTTACCTTGATTTCATACTTATCAGCACTTAGCAGGATATAATCTCCAGGACTATGTACCATGGATTCTACTTCACTCCTCTGCAATATCACCTGATGGGAGACCACACCAGGAGGAGAGCAAACAGTGAGAGTCGGCGTTACCAACAAGAAAACGCGATGCGTCAGCATGCTGACCTCACCTTAGTGACCCACTCGGTGTGTCCAGTGAGCGTGTTGAGGCAGGCACCGGCAGACAGAGACCAGACCTTTACCGTGAAGTCTGCAGAACCGCTGACCAGCACATCCAGTTCATCATTGTAGTCCACACTAAAGACTGTACACACACACACACACACACACACACACACACACACACACACACTATAACCATGGTTGTGCATCACCCCGAGTTTCTTATACATCAATGTAGTAAAAACTGTGGAACATGATTGATGTAAGTCAATGTCAGGGCAGGAGGGGTTTCTAAATCACTCCAAACATTTTGTAGTTTCAGCATTTATTCACATCAGCTGTGTTTAATCTGCTTTAATCCAACTCCAGTCTGTTCATTTGCAGAAGTGTGATTGTGCAAATTCTATTGCATTTTTTGAAGTAGTTATTTTCTCCCTCAATCACCTCAAAAGTATAAAACTAAACTAACGCCTAAAGCGTGGCAAACTCCAGATGGACATTTGGTCAGAATTCATACTGACCTGCTCCAGTGTGGCCCCGGAACTGCTGGATTTTAGCCCCTGTGCTCCATTCCCAGCACGCAATAGTGTTATCAAAGGACCCGGTCACTAGCTTCTGTTCATCGAATTTCACCGTGGCACATGTGTGTGTTTGAATTCCATAAATACACTGTCCAGTTCGCACGTCCCATAATTTGGCAGAGAGGTCATCAGATCCTGCAACAGAAGGAGACAATCATGACGCCAGCAGGCAGAGTCACGTTCTCCACAGAGTCACACAGAGGAACTGACACAGTCAGAGCCAGAGCCAATCAAAGGTACCTGTGCAGAGCAGGCCATCTTTGTAGTACAGGGCGTAGACTCGGGCACTGTGGCCAATCAGGGACGACGTCTCAAAGGCCTCCTGGTCCTTCAGCTGCATCATACGCAGTTTAGCTTTCAGGTAGATGCCCTTCCAGTGGGCTGCATCCTGAATGGATTCATCGATCCGCCAGCCTAGCTCCCGACACACACTCTGCCACACCTCTGTGCACGAGCTGATCACCTACACACACACACACCTAAATAGCTTTAATTTAAATAGCTGCTGGGAGTTAACTAATAAGATTCATGACAGATTTCATTACAGTTTTATGTAAATATAAACTTTGTATTATCATCTGATGTTGATACAAAAAGTTATGCAAGTTCCTGA